CCAGAACCTTCTGGCAGAAAGGTCCTGGTTCCCCCGGGACTCCAACCTTCTTGCTGTGAGGCGATGGTCCTAACCACCACACCACCGTCTTCTTTAACTGTCAAAAACATCAGCACTGTCTGAAATCGTGCTGGCCAGTTTCTGACCGGTTGCTATCTGCTCTCCTTTCTGGAAGCACCAGGTCTTTCCAAACTCTAATTTTCCCTTCATTTGGTTGCCAGTTGTTCAATTTTTTTGCTGGTTTTTGGTCTTGCAATGTCACAAAATTCTGTGCTGCAAACACACCAAATACTGGTTTCCCATTGGCTTCTGCAAACAGGTAGAAATCTGTCCGTTTCTCTTTTCTGATGAAAACACTTCATCAACGATCATCCATTCATTTTCTAAAATACTTATTGCTACAAGGGCAAGAGACAGGGCGCACCCTTAAGAGGGTAACATCGAAACAAACAACTTCACATTCATCCTAAAGGCTGATTTAGAGTCATCGGTTACCTTAACATGCATAGTTTTGGATGGTGGGAGGAAGCAGGCATACCCGGAAATAACTCACACAGGAACAGACAAACTCTACCCAGGAAGTCCTGATCCCCCTAGGATTCAAACCTAGATATAAGTAAAAAAAATAATTGAATTTAGTTGCCAGTGGAAGAGAATGGGGCAACAAATACAACATTATAGTGCAGAGTAATAATGTAAGAGTGTGGTACTCTGGATGGTTCTGTATGGGTTGTGACTCCCTGCTTTGTTCAAAACCTGTCATCCATCAGTTACCAAATATATTTCTCATCGCGACGTGATAAAGAACATTGGATTTGTGCATCTATAAAAAAATAAATAAATAAAAAGAGTAAATCTGTTTGTTTGTTGGCCAATCGTGGCACTTCCTGAAGGATCACCATCCATGTTTCCAGCACTGTAACCTGGAGGTGATTAATCAGAGAGTTCCCGGGTCTCTTACTGGTCTCTAACTGGTCTCAGGTGGACCGAGGAAACGTCCTCTGTGGTCAGAGCACCTCTGTGTGAAGGTGCCTTTGAAGCAGGGGGGGGTGTGCGCCAATAGCTCGGTTAACTTCAGCGTCCAGGAGAGCGAGGCGTGTTCCCGGGAGATGGAGGTGAGTTCAGCATGACGGGGGCTGGCCATCGTTCAGAATCCAGAAAAGCAGAGCCAAACAGCCTCAGACTGTTCATCAGTCAGAGTCCTCCTAAAAACGAACCACGTTTGCCAGCCGGAATCTTTGGTTAAATCTCCTATAAAGTAAAATCAGAGGGGCGTTTGTCAGATGACAGTCCCGTTATAACGTTTTTATTTGAGCTGAACAATAGTCTGGAGGGACTTAAATCCTCTCAGGTTGACAGGTAGTCCTAATGGACTGATTTTTAGCCACAGTTTCTGACATGTCTATCCATCAGAAGAAGGAAACAGGAACATATCTGGATATGAAATGATGTCACACACTTATTTTATTATTCTTTGTACTGAGCTTATAAGCCTTTCTTGTCTGGTTAAATCTAGTTTAGCTTGGATATGTTTAAGCCTTTCACCTCCAAACTGAATAAAACCGAATGTGAGATCTTGGGTTTGAGAATCTCAGACTGAATTGTTTCTGTGTAATCTGGTTGGATTTTAGAGAAAAACTAATAATTCTTTTTTTTTTTGGATTGCATAAACAAATAATTTTCTTTGTCTTTATGTTTGGGAATAAATATCCAAACTAGTTAACAGAACTGTATTTGCCTAATTCAATTTTGCAACAAGTAAGAATTGAAGACTTTAGCTGGACTTTTATTTGAAATATTTTGAACATTTCTAATAATTACATTTGACTTGTTTTAATTGTCTTTAATATGCATTTTATACACTACCTGAGCATGCTTCAGTTTTTTTTTGCTAAATTTGCCATTTTTTGTCTGATTTTGCTAGTATAAATTCTTGTTTTCTCCTTTTGTAATTAAAACAGTGGCATTTAACAATACTTTGGCTTACTTTAAAAAAGTGAGTAGAATTTATCTGATTACGTTGCATCAATTAAAGTATGTAATGTATCTTATTAGGGCAAATTATCCATTTCTATTCCTGATGATATTTTGACAGCAAAGGTGATAAAACCCCCCAAAAGTTGCACGTGGATATAAATCTTTCCAGTGTGAGTGTGCGATGAATTTTCCTCCATGGAAGCTGTGATTTCGGTTCACTTACCAAACATTGACCCCTCCGTGAAAGCAGACGGGAACTAACCGCTGGCCGGGTTCTGGGTAGGAGTCCCGGGGGAACCAGGACCAGAGGGTTCTGGGTTGGAGTCCCCGGGGG